AGAAAAAACAAAAAAACTATTTTTTATCTTGTTTAAAGAAAAATAATCTCAAAACTGAATTGTGACTTTTTGTTCTGTGACTTTTTGTCCGTGACTTTTTGTCTGTGACTTTTTGTCCTTTGACTTTCTGTCCTACATTCGTATCATCCGTGTCCGTGTTATTCATATTGTTAGCCGATTTTGTTCTTGCATTCTAGGCTGGTTTGCAAAGGGTCCATGCATCCAGGTGATATAGACGGCGGTGGACGACAATGTACGTGCATTTCATTGGCTTTCATGTTGGATAATACTATTCCAAAGACTAGAGATGAAGTAGATAATATTCTTCTAAGAGGTACTTTTCCATCCGGTAAAGCTGTTGTACTGTCATTTGCCTCGAGTTCAAGCTTGATATCATATATCAAAGATTAAAACAAATCGATCACAGACTGAGTCGCTGAATCACAGTTTGAGATAACACCCCTTATTAATTCTAAACTAATAGTGGTCGACTCTGGCGTAGTTGGAGACGCCCAGGCGTCTAATACACCAGTATCCGCTGACTATGAGACTGACTGAATACCAAATATATAACATACTAGCCATGAAATGCCAGTTGATGAAGAGTCTTCGTGCCACTGTGATAACGGAAGCAATAATGAAACTTCGGGTAATAAAGTGGATGAGTCTTTTGTGTCCATCAATGAAAATAACGTTGAAACTGCAGATACTCGAAATGATGAGTCATTTATGTCCTATAATGACAATAACGATGAAACTTCCGGTACTGGAGATGATGAGTCATCTATCTTCAACAATGAACGCAACGAAGAAACTGCGGGAATTTCAGTTGACGATACCTCGGGATCGCGATTATCAGATGATATTGGAGTCATCGATGAACATACCCTATCGGATGATGTAAAATTCAGAATTTTGTCTAATCGGTGTCCGGAACCAGGCTTTAAATTTCCGTTTAAATTGTATAAAGATAAAAGATGCAAAAACGGTACTTTTAAAAGATCTTGTTGTCGCGATTGGTTTGAGCAATTCCCATTCATAGCATATTCAAAGTCGAAAGATGGGTTATATTGCCTTGCTTGTAAGTTTTTTCCGGACACATCCGGTCGCCGACCAAGATTGTTGGTTACAGAACCATTCAATAAATGGAAAGACGCCACTATAGATTTGAAAAAGCATGCGCAGACTGGTTATCACGCTGACTCGATGGTTAGATTGAACGGGTTCAAGAAATCGTGTGTCAATCAGTCGCACAGAATCGACGTCAATCTGCAATCGAATAATGCAGCAATCATCGCTAAGAACCGCGATTAAATCAGATCTATGCTTAAGTGCTTAGAGTTCTGTGGTAGGCGTGGAATGGCGCTTAGGGGACATCGGGATGATGATGCAGGCCATAGTAAGAACAAGGGAATTTCAAAGAACTTATTCAATTTAGAATAGAAGCGGGCAATACAACCCTAGAACAACATTTTGAAACGTGTTCAAAAGTAGCAAACTACACATCAAACGAGTGTTAACTTGCATTAAGACATAAATTCAGAAATCTATTGTGGAAGAAGTGAAGTCCCAGCCTTTTGGTGGATACTATGGAATCCAATGCGACGAGGTATCAGACACTAGCAATTGGGAACAATTAGGACTGGTTATACGCTATGTCGTCGATGGAGTTCCAGCCTGCTAGAATTTATTTTGGCTGAGGAAACCACTGGCGAATCACTTTGTAATCTTGTCGTTCAGTCCCTCGCTAGTAATGGTTTGGACATCCAGTTATGTAGATCGCAGACTATGGATGGGGCAGGAAATATGTCCGGGAAAAACGTCGGATGTGCCGCACGGTTAACACGGATCTCTCCACGCGCAACGTATCATTATTTTGCTAGTCACAATCTAAGTTTAGTGCTGTGTAAAAGTTGTAAGGTTACAGAAATCCATTTCATGCTAGATTCTCTCAAACAACTCGGGAAATTTTTTGAATATTTCCTTAAAAGAAGCCGACGACTAGAAACGGCAGTAGAAGGTGTTAACAACAATCGACAAGAAAATAACAAAATTTCTAAATCAAAATTCAAAATCTTCTACGAAACTAGGTGGACAGAGAAACACGCCACACTCGACACATTTGCGACAATGTAAGAGGCATTGGTAGCGTGTTTAGAAGCCATAAGCTCCAATGAGAGACGTTCGTGGGACCGAAAGGCTATTACGGACGCTCATGGCCTTCTGTCCAAAATAACAGATAGCACATCTATTATGTGCTTCCATACAGTACACAACTTCTTTGGTTATGTACGTGGAGTAAGTTCTAAGCTTCAAGGCTCATCTTTGGACATTGTTGAAGGTTATAAAATGATCGGAGCTGTGAAACAGATCATCGAAGAAACCCGTAAAATTGAACAAGAGTTTGACTTAGTTAAAGCGTCTGGCATGGCAGTTAAAAGCCGGACTTGATGAGCTAAAAATGCCCCGTGGTTGTGCTAGACAGACACATCGTAACAATGTTCCCTCTACATCAGATAAAGAATACTTTAAACGAGCAATCTACTTACCTTATCTTGATGAGCTAATTCAACAACTTGATATGCGTTTTGGTCAAGAGACTGTCTCTGTTGTTCGTGCCCTGTCAATTTTGCCTTCCCGAGTTCACCTTATCTCCCAAGAGATGGAGAATGATATTTATGATTATTACAATGCTGATATGCCTTCGCCCGAAACATTCAGGCAAGAGATGATAATCTGGAAGTCGTTTTTGGAAAACCAACCGGACAAACCAGAGTCAATTACATCAACCTTAACTGATGTAAGGGCATGCTTGACTTTATTTCAAACATCATGAAAGTTCTCTTCTTACTTGCTTTGACGAGCGTCACGTAAAGCTCCACCGAAAGAGCTAACTCGTCACTTAAGTTGATCAAGAATGATTTGAGAAGCACCATGAAGGAGGATCGTCTAAATGCTCTGCTTCTTCTTTATGTTCACAGAGACATTAAACTCGATTATGATAAAATAATTGACGATTACGCCATGAGAAATCCGCGTAAAATGGTTCTAATGAATCCACTCTAGTCTAACCATTCACTGAAAATGAGAGTCCGTCAGTATTTCTGTGTTCATTTTAGGTTTTGCGTTAAGGTACATTTATACTAGTAACATGTATATTTGGTATAGCATTTTTACTTCCCATCTGGATAGCCTTTGGTAGTATCATATTGTTTCAATATCCATTAGTGAGTAACTAAGTGACATTGACCTACATTTTGCCATGAATTTCAAGCACCATATTTATTTATGTACCATATACCTCCTATCGGAACTAGACAGTTACATGATTGCTTTAATTTAGTACTGTAGTACAATGACGTCAATTTTTCATATTCAATCATGTATTCCACATTAAAGCCTACAATATTTAGAACGAAAGAACTTTATACTTCAGTGTTTGTTTGTCTTGTATCATGTGTGTCGTTCAACGAAACCAGAACTTAATCTAAAATAGAGAGATATTTATCAGTCTGGCTTCTTCATAATTTGATGCTAAATTGTTGAAATCCAGGAGCTTCTGAGCTTTCCCATGGACCCTCTACCAGGGCAACCGTAATTACGCCTCCCGTTCATAAAATCCTGGCCTAGGACTATTGAAATGCTAAGTAACGCCTTATACCCTAGAATTTGGAATTTCTCGTTATTGGTCTACTGCTGTTAAGATCCATCCAATCATTTTAATATACCATAGACAATTAATGGAGAGAATTCGGCATAAAAAATGTCAAACCCTGACACTTTAACTATATAATATACATGCTCCAAGTCAGGAACCGTTACATTAGTGCATTTCACAATTATTTATGTTTTTTAGCAAAAAAAGGTCAAAAAATTTTTATTCTACGCCGCATCTTTCAAATATCCTAGAAACGCCCCTAGTACCTTAATATTTTAATAGACCTCAAGAGTTAAGTGACTGGAAAATAATAACATGACCGCTATATTGACTTTACTTGTCCATGCTAAAAGGGGTCGTCATTTTGACTTCGACGGTCATATATATACACTTCGACGGGGAGGTCGACAACGATGCCTCGTGTATGGAGGGTTCAACGTTTACTGCAAGTTGAAGAAACCATGCAACAACTCATATAATTTAAATTACTGCCGCAATCAAACATGCCGTTTTGTTTTAGTGGCAGCCTAAATTTCCCGCTCTTTTTACCGACCAACTCACTTTGACTAACTTGGATTTCTTGTTGAATTGTTCTCGCACTGAATATGCATGACATATTTGCAACTGGACATTAAGTAAGTAACAAGCAATCAATATATTTAAATGATACTTTTTTAATTTTCATATTTTACAATAGCCCCTTAATTGTCTTCCAATTTCAACTGATTTTTACAGTTTGTACTTATGTTGTGCTGTTACATCACTGTCCCATGTATGTTAGGGGAAGGGTTGAGCGCTTACAAAAATGTTTAACCCCGCCATATTCTTTATGTGCCTGTCATAAGTCAGGAGTCTGTAGTTCAGTGGCCATGGTTCATGTCTGTCATATTTGTTTTTCGTAAACTGTTTTGTTGTAACTAAGGCCATTAGTTTTCATGTTTTATAGCCGACTATATACAGTATGGGATTTTTTCATTGTTGAATGTCGTATGGTTGCCTATAATTGCTTATGTCCACTTCATTTGAACTCTGATTGATAGTTGTCTCATTGGCAATCATACCACATCTCCTTATTTTTATATCAGTGAATAGTGTCCAATAGGTCAACTGATAATGAAACTTTTAACAATACGAGAGAATAAACAATTCATCCCATATTGCAACGTATTGACTTTAATTTTTACGTAATAATTTTCATGTCATGTAAAAAAAAAAAACCAACAAGGTGACCCGTGATTATTAAGTGCTTCCTTGTTAAACAACACCACATAAAATAAAAAAAAATAATAAATCTTGACTGATGGAACTTGGTGTAGGTTGACACGGACATGTGTATTTTAAGTCCAAAGTAGACGATGCGCATTTAATCAGGATAGCCACCAAAGGCTACAGTATATATACATAGCATTTTAACATTGTCTGTACCAAACAACAAACATAATGAAGGGCTTTGTACTGATGTCAGTTGTGTGTTTATTATTTATCACAATAAGCACTAACATGTTGGCAGAAGGTAATCTTTGTTTTATTTATTTGTCTTAATAGAATAAGTCCGCTGTCTTTTGAAGATAATATAATTAGTAACGAAGGAAGGTTATTGAAAACCAAATTTGTCCTAAGTACGATGTACATAAAGAACTAAATTTGAAACAAATCTAGTATATATGGCTAGAGCTGTCAGACCATCAGTTCAAAACTCCTATATAATCAACCATTTTTTTTTTAATTTTCACAGCTTTCTGAATATTTTAATGTCAACGTTAAAAACGTTTATAATGTGATACAAATAGACAAAAAATACGAAAAAAAAATTGCAAAATATTGTTTAACAAAATTTTAATCTGCTAACCGAGTCCCTGTGGTACATATATGAACTGGTGTCCTTTTTTTTATCATTTTGTGATGTATTATGTAATGTGTTATTTTTAATTTAGACTTATATATAAACAAGTCTAAATTGAAAACAACGTTCAAACCTATGATTGCGTTGGATAAAAATCGCAATTTTTATACGTGTGCATGCAAAACAAATTTCTTGGTAGAGGGGTCTAAATACAGCACAAACAACATTTTCCAAAAGACCAAAAAAGTTAAAAAGTATATTTTAACAAAACGCATTTGACTAGCAGGTCGAACAACGGATGTTCTGAAACCCTGCTGACTGCCATTGGCGATTGCCAAATGAACGGATCACCAGATGTGACAAAATGGATCTTAATTATTAATTTAATACCAAACAGAAAACAATAAACTTGCGGAAAAGATGGTAAACCGCAAACATATATATATCCTAATATCTATTCTGTTTATTTTAAACAGATGTAAAAGCGTTACTTTTGATTTCAACTTATTGAAAATGAGATAAACAAAAAACTGAACTTTTAAACGAGCTATCGATAATTTTATACTGGCTGCTAAATGTCACAATGGTATACATTTGACACAGTAAAGTAACAAGACCGAAGTACATAAAAAGAATAAAAGGGATGACAAAATAATTTGAACAGTCCAACAGACTATGCCAAAAAAATCCACATCCAATTCTCCGAAAAAAAAGACGTACACACAAAGACAAACAACAACAAACAGCACATGGTCAAGAAAGCCTGTTCTGGAACTGGCGCAAATGTGATTTGGTTCAAGAAGCTTTACGCGCGCACCCCCTTTTTTGCATACCTAGACTATATGTTGTTATTATAAACCTTGCAACAAAAAACCCGCACAGTGCAGCTACCAGTAGAATGACAACTGACATGATCAAAGAAATAAAAAGCGCAAAAAAACCTTCGAAAGCAGGGTCAAAATATGTTCGCTTCTACATTAAGCAAGCAAAGGTAGTCACGGCTGTTTCTAGAATACAACCGTCCAAGAAAAAAAATCCGAAAAGTGCTTTAACAGATTTCGTTGGTCCTCTTCAGTATATATTTTATTGTATATAACTTATTTACAGATGCAGTATTCACCATCAGTATAAAATATGTACATTTGCAATAACTTCATTTGATAAAAAGTGATAGGTATTCGTCAACATAACAGCATATTACTTACACACAAAATCAACCTCCTCACCATTTGCACGTACATCAAAGAAAAAGCCTCATTATTTGTATTTAAACGAAATTCTTTTCTTTCAGGTCGTCCACAGCCATGCTGTGCTTGCGTCCGAGCACCGTGTAATTGTCCACCATGCACTCCCACCTGGCCAACATACAAACCACGCCGACGATATCCTTGGATTGGATAGACTAATATTTATAGAAATCTTTAAATGATTTAATTATTTGAGTTTACACTAGAATTAGAAGGCATGACAACATTGTTATTACAATCTGAAGCACACAAAAAAAACAGAAATTAATTTCGCATGTTATTAGGTACCAAAGTAATCAAAATAAAATTGTGTTATTTTAACTAGTTTTAATTTTATGAATGCGGATTAAGCAATCAGTGCTATATCGAATTTTCGCTGATTTAAACACTATATAAGCATATGCATCCATCTAGGATCATAGTGTAGCTTTTGTCTTCATGTTCCGTCGTATGATTTATTTACAAGTTGTAATTACCTTTGAACTAGATTTCAGCAACTGCGAGTACTCTTAGATCGGTACTTTGTGTCTTTAGTCTATTGTTAATTGTTTTTTGTGTCGATCAGATGACTGATGAGTCAAGTCTTTTTCAATCGAATTTCATGTTGTGCTGTTACATCACTGAACTAAGTTTAGAGAATTGAGCGCTTGCTAACATGTTTAACCCCGCCACGTCCTATATGCGCCTGTCCCATGACCGGAGCCTGTAATTTGGTGGTAATTGTTGGCCGCTGTCTATTATGTTTTTTTTTCGGTTATTGATTTACATTTCATCATTTTGATCTCTGGTGGATATTTATCTCACTGACAATCATACCACATCTTCTTATTTTTATATTTTAAACATTTTTTTAAAATTTCCTTCTCTAAACCACTGGAACCGTCCAAGATGGCCATAATTGTCCAAGCAAGTCTGGTTTCAAAATTTTACCAGATGTTCCTTACTTGTTAACCGAGAAGCCTCCATTACAAAATACCATTGGGTAGAATCAATGAAAACGACAAAAATTTATGATCCCAAGGAACTGGTAAACCGAATTAGTATTAAAGTTTGCGAAGCGAGGAATGTATCCAAGAAACTTAATGATTTGTGCATATTGTTCTCATTTCAGTCTAAAGATGTTTTAAAATTCCACGTGAGACAGCTGAGGTTATTCTATTACGATACAATATGGTTAGCAAAACTTTGCACCCGTGCTGTCAAATTTGGATAAGACACAAATCAATATCTTTTAAACTAAATGAGGATCATCTCTAATACAAAATGAGAAGACCATTGGGCAGTAACAACATTGCCCGCTCATGCACTTCCATGAACAATGAACTCTAAATTGACACTCCACCTCCTAATGAACATGTGTACTAAATTAAAACAATCTTGACGGTTAACCAACTTAAAACAAACTTTAACCTGATACGGACCGAACCGGAATATATATAGAGAATAACACATGGCAAAATCCGTATCACATGCCGTATCATCCCTCGGGCTGATATTGGTATCTCGGGATGATACGGCATGTGATACGGATTTTGCCATGTTTTATACGCTTTATCATATTTAAACAGGAGAGTATATAGGAACTGCTTACTGATCGAGAGCACCTGGGTTACCTTCAGATTTATTTTTGCCATGTTTTATAAGCTTTATCATATACAGGAACTGCTTATTCAGCCGAAGCACCTGGGTTACCTTACAATTTGGGTCCTGTATCTTGTTTTTTGTATTTTTTTTGTTGTTTGTTTGTGTTTTGTATGGTATTTCATTGAGTTCTTTTTATCCTCCTTTAGTAATGTTGTACTATATAAAACACATTCTGAATAAAACCTGTTAATAAAAAAAATAGTAACAATAAACCAACAATTTAATAACAAGTATACTGTAATAAACAAGAGAGACTACTTTGAGACTGGTGAGTAAAATGTGAACTTTTGAAATATCAAAATTTTAAGATTATCAAACATATTGGACTTCATGTAAATTTAGTCGGCATCACTACTGTCATAAATGACCCATTTCCGTTTTTTCTGAGTTTGTCGTGACTATTCTCTTTTACCTCAACAGGGGGCGTATTTTTTTGTTCTTCGGTAGTGAGCCAGAAGAGGTCCATTTCTGTTTTTTTGAATAGGGAAGATCTTCTGGCTCTCTCCCACCTCTTCTTTTTTGATAGGTATTTTAGACGGCAGAGGCACATAACAAACATGGCGTCGTTTAGTCTAAATGGCATTAATAAATTTATGAATGCAGATATATTAGAATGTGAGCTGTGTTATAAACGTTTTTATGGTATGACAGTCTTAGAAGGACATCCCTGTAGGACGATAAGCTGGATAAATATAAGAACTACACGGACAATAACAGTTAAGCTAATTATGCCTATTTTTCAGCTCTTTCTAGTCAACCATATTCATTTATGTCATCCAACTTAACAAAAATCTGCTAGGGCGTGTTTTTTTTGTTCTTCAGTAGTGAGCCAGAAGAGGTCCGTTTCTATTTTTTTGAACTAGGAAGATCTTCTGGCTCTCTTCCACCTCTTCTTTTTAAATAGGTGGTTTAGACGGCAGAGGCACAAAACAAACATGGCGTCGTTTAGTCTAAATGACATTAATAACTTCATGAATGAAGATATATTAGAATGTGAGCTGTGTTATAAACGTTTTTATGGTATGACAGCCTTAGTAGGACATCTCTGTAGGACGATAAGCTGGATGAATATAAGAACTACACGGACAATAACAGTTAAGGGACAATTATTTGAAATCCCTAGGGAAGGGATTTTGATTCATTGGTGTTTTACGCTACTTTCAACACTCATGATTGGGCTCAGTAGTAGTCAGTTTAAATCAATAGATGAGCAATTAATGAAGAAGGAAAGAGGGCATTATTATTCATTTTAATTTGTCGCTAATCATACCTAGTTTTTAGCTCTTACCAGGCAACCATATTCATATACGAAATCCTCCTGTCCCCCATCCCAACAAATAAATAAATATCAGATGGTTTTCTCTTATTAAACACAAGTTTAAATTGATCATGCTAATTTTTAACGCCCAGTGACAAATATTTCATGCATGTTCAGGAAAACATGAGATAAAAAGTCGGGTAAATTATATAAAAACGAAGAGATGTGATATGATTGCTAATGAGGCAACTCTCCTAATATGAAGTGGATGTAAGCAATTATAGGCAACCTTAAGGCCTTCAACAATGACAAAACCCGATACTGTAAAGCCGTTTATAAAAGGCCATTAAAAGTGTGAAACAATTCAAACGATAAAACTAACGGCCTAATTATACAAAACAAAACAATTTACAAAATATCAAATATGAGTTGCGACATGAACCAATGACAACCACTAAACTACAGGCTCCTGACTTGGGACAGGTTCATAAAGAATATGACAGGGGTTTATATAAAAACGAAGATGTGGTATGATTGCCAATGAGACAACTCTTCACAAGAGACCAAATGATACAGAAATTAACAGCCATATGTCACAATACGGCTTTCAACAATAAGCAAAGCCCATACCACACTGTAAATCTAAGTGTTAAGAAATAGAACACTGCTTGAACGCTTTTTTGTAACACTTTTTTAACGTGTAATGGTGTTCCAAATGTTTACACTAGTGTTCATCAATTGAATGTGTGGTGTTCAGTTTTTAATGCCTTTGTGTTTCATTTTTGAACACTTGATGTTAGAGTTCTTAACACTTAGTGTTCAACGATTTAACGTGTCCGAATGTTCAAAATCTTAATACGTCGACGCGTTCAACAGCTATGTAACACTTTTTGAACACATAGAACATGTTTAAAGCCAAAGTGTTAAGATTCAGAACACCAGACGTTAACTTTCAGAACACCAGATATAAGTGTTCAAAGTGATGGTGTTCAAATGTGGAACATGTTCTATTTTCAGGCGTACATAATTTTCCATACGTACTCAACTTAAATAAACTGTTATAAAAACTATATTCAATCAGGCAAAATATAACAATAAAACATATTTTAACAAGTAATTCTTTATGTAATCAAATGAGCATATTATATTTAAGAAAAGTACACCAGATACCTTATGATATCACAAGTAACAGTCAGTGAAATCACATACATAATATTTTTAAACTGACTTAATATATATCACAAATAATGATTTTCCCCTACATGACTAGATAGTTGCAACAGCATTTGTATCATAACCAAAAAAGCATGTCAATGTGATAATTAGATAGTTTATGATATAGGTATTTGTCACAATGAAAGTTTAAAAGTTTGCAAATTCCAACAGTTCTTGTACGATCACATACAATGTACGCTCCACTTTTCAGTGCATCTTCACTTAAGGCTATCAACTGGGTGGCATTTTATGTGTTGTTATCAACTTCCAATGTCAAAATCCTCCACAACAAGGAATGTCTATGAGCCTATATATCCTGCAAAATAAAATTAAAAATTAATAGAAGAGAGTTTTTCATAAAGCATCAAATTATGCAATGCTTGTTATGCTTTAATGTCGATATATACTAGTGTACAAATTGATACTCTATAGCAATGAAATGCAAGTTTTGACATTATAAATTACAAAAGTCGATTTCTTGACCTAAGGTGAACAGATAGAAATGATACACCCACATAAGCTATTAATATACATATATTGTCATATCTTTTTTCGACATCTTTCTTTTTTCCACCACTTTATAGCATGCAGAAATGACCTTTTTGGGATTATTGGCTGCCGGTTCCTAATTCAAACATTTTAATCTAACGATTCCTGCAAATAAAAAAACAAATGCATTTTCTAAGTCAAAAATGGTGTTCCAAATGTTTGCACTAGTGTTCATCAATTGAATGTGTGGTGTTCAGTTTTTAATGCCTTTGTGTTTCATTTTTGAACACTTGATGTTAGAGTTCTTAACACTTAGTGTTCATCAATTGAATGTGTGGTGTTCAGTTTTTAATGCCTTTGTGTTTCATTTTTGAACACTTGATGTTAGAGTTCTTAACACTTAGTGTTCATCAATTGAATGTGTGGTGTTCAGTTTTTAATGCCTTTGTGTTTCATTTTTGAACACTTGATGTTAGAGTTCTTAACACTTAGTGTTCATCAATTGAATGTGTGGTGTTCAGTTTTTAATGCCTTTGTGTGTTTCATTTTTGAACACTTGATGTTAGAGTTCTTAACACTTAGTGTTCATCAATTGAATGTGTGGTGTTCAGTTTTTAATGCCTTTGTGTGTTTCATTTTTTAACACTTGATGTCAGAGTTCTTAACACTTAGTGTTCAGCTAATGTATGTGGATGTCGAAAATCATCATTTATTC